ATGTTTTCCTTTCCTTACAACTGTGTACAAATGTATTTCCTATTGTTAATACATGCATTGTCATTTGTTATATATTCATTGTTTTGTTTTAGCTATTTTTACTTGGACTCACATTGAGTATGCCAATATTATTTGCAGGATAAATGTTCTTGGAGCCCATAAATATTTAATATCCAAAGTGTTGATTCCCACAACACAATGGTGACTAATATTTACTCAAACATACTAGCATCCCACAAAAAATTCATAAAATAGAACTGAATCAAGGACCTTAAGATTTTAAATTCCAACTGGAAAATATCATCTGCAAGAGTAAATTCTAATGGAACATTTTTTTTTCATTTTTAGAAATAAATATTTGATTCCCAGTAACTGAGATTTTTTACATTTTCTGTGTGATATTCCTAACTTAAAAAAAAAAATCTTATTAATTTTTTATCAAAATCTTCCTACCTTTCATGTTTGTTTTTTTTTTTTTTTTTTTCTTTGGCAGACATGATGATAGTGATATTTTTGATATTTACTTAAATACTTATTAAGTTTTTGCCTTTTTTGAAGTTCAACATGGTGAAGTTGTGTCATAGGCAACCATTTAAACTTTTTATGTCATACAATCATGGACAGGGAATCAGGAAGAGATATCACTCTCTTTAAATGAAGAACTGAGGGAATTTTTTATGAAAATCACTTAACTCATAAATTTGATGGTAGAATATGATTTTTGTATAACACAGTTTCTATCATCCACAAAAAAAATTCTATTTCATTTGAATAACCATCGGGGAAACCTGTAATAAGACCCTCTTGCATAATCTGTACATATATTTTCTAGCTATTATATATTCTATTTTCTCCAGAAGCTTTAAATCACTAATGATACAGATTGGTATCCACATCATAATTGTAAATACAGCATATTTGATAGTTGGCTAGAGGTGGTTCAAACTATTTTGGGCTGGTTAATTTCTAGACTTCTACTTATTGATTATTTGAAAATGGAGTACATGAAGATCCATCTGAAAGAAAAAAAAAAATATTGTGGCAAATCACCAACAGTCTGTCTACTTTCTTAATTGCCTATTGCTTTCTCTGTGGAATTTTGTTTGTCTTTTTAATTTAAAAAAAAGAAGGCTTTCTTCTGGATGCTCTACCAAAATAACCCATGTGATAAAGATTCGGCAACAGAAATGTAATTTAAACGGAAAGATGCTGAGAATTGCATAAACTGATCCTGTGAGCAATTAAGTCATGAGAGAAATCTTGAAACCAAAAGAGTTCCACTAGTGAGAAGTGTGAGAGAAGAAAATGTTAGCATAGAACTTATAGTTGCATCTAATCAATTCAACTCTAAATTGAAGAGACATTGTTTCCAATCTATTACAAAATTATAAATTCATAGAGTCTAGGTACCATAGTGAAAAGTTCACCAGAACAATTCCATGAAAATATTTATAGGAAAGGCTCAGTGAGGCTACGTTATGGTGGTAGGAAAGTGACTGAAGCTGAGATGCCAGGTCAGAACCAATAACAATGTGGATTCTTCTTAGGATTTAATCAAGAATCTATATATACATATATAGCAGGAACACCAGAACCATATGTAGCAGCAATCAGGGATCTCTATGAAGACCAAGGTAAACCCAAACAATTATGAATTTTTTTTTTTTTTTTCATCAGTATGGTCAGATCATTCCCAAATGAAAGTAGAATTCTGAATTTCCCTCCTATTTTATACTGACTCCTTTGGACTGATTAACAATATGCTTGAGCTTCAATAAATGGATGGCGGAACAAAGTTTAGGAGAAATAACAAAAAGACAAAATTTATCAAGAGCTACCATGGACAAGAAATTGTGGAAAGCCATGATCGCCTATATCCTGAAAGGATATGGTACATAGAAGAACAATATGCTTGCCTTTGAAACCTAGCAATTTCTGTATACTTTGCTGTATGGACCATTGTGAAGTGATTCTAAAGTCATATCCTTTGGGATTTTGAGTATACATTCATTTGATGCCAACTTTTAATGAAAATGAAAACAAAAAGGATACTTAGAATAAAAAAAAAAGCAACAATTGAAATGTCTGGGACACATAATGAGAAAAGAGGGTTTGGAGAATTTCTCTCATGGCATACTGAAGGCTAAAGGAGCAGAAAGGAACAGCAATTAACTTGCCTAACTAGATTGTGCAAATAATTGGTAGCACACATAGGTTGGATAGTGAAAAGATAAATATTTCTAAGAGCTACAAAGAAGAGGACGTTATGGAGTACCATGATCGTCTACGTTCTGAAGGAATATGGCACAAAAGAAGAAACCAGATTTTATTAAAACATTGATGTCTGTTTCTGTGCTCATACAGACAAATTTATACATAATATATGTCTATTCATAAATTTTTTATTGTAATACCTACAAATTTTAATATTACCAGTGCAAGGGAGACAATTATATGGCTCTACCTTGGACCAGCGTTGACAGATGGTAGTTTCTTTATAACAGTTGCTGACTGTTTCAAGAAGTTTGTAAAGCCAGGCGGGAAGGAGACTGAATCTTGAAAGGTCAGAGTACAAGAGTAAATTCTGCAGGACATTGATCATGGATCTCTACAATTTCCTTTACTTTTTAACTCTTACTAAATCTTTGTCTTTTTCTTATATCTCCTAAACCGGATTCTACTATCCATTTAATCAAGCTTACTAGGTAGGTTATACATTGTTTTCTACAGTTACTCTTGCTTTCAATCTGTCCTGTGTATATCAGATTTCCCAAGCCCTCTTTCATCATGTGCCCTAGAAATTTCAGCTTACTCTTCCTGATGTTAAGCATAAGTGACCTTTACAATTCTATTTTCTCTAAAACTTTGTCAGTGCTCAAATGTTCAGTTTATGATATTCTCAGCATCCTTCTGTAGAATCACATTTCTGTTGCTTAAAGTCTCTCCCCTGGAGAGGAGGACTGATATTGCATAACAGTTCAGTATGTTTTTCTTTGTTTCCAATGAAATTTTCAGGTTTATTAATACTTTGCTTAGCTTTTTCGAAGGAATTTTTGGTTATAAGTGTTGCATCTTCCATCCTCTGACAAAACACTTTCCAGATATTTCAGTTGTTGTACTAATTTGATTTTGGTATCTCCAACTTGTAATTTACATGTTCAGTTGTTCTTTTTACTAAGAACCATGCATTCTATCTTCTTGCAATTGAAGTTTATTCCTTTCTTGCTTTTTTTTTTTTTTTTTTTTTTGCTCTACCTTCTGTAGGAGTTATTGTAGTTTCCTTTCTATATCTGCATATCTTGTGTTAAGATTGTGGCTGCCAATAATGAATCCTGGTAGAACTTCTAATTCTCTCAGAATTGCCTCACTGTATAGGTTGAATAAATTCAGTGTGAAAACACATCCTTGTCTTACACCCTTTCTATTTTTGTACATTTACTGAATTCATTTTCTATCCATATGCAGGTGGTTTGCTGCCAGTATAGATTCTGGATTATTCTAATATATTTCCCAATTTGTCAATGCTATGAATAAATTAGTCTATATATAATATAAATGATGCTTTCAAAATACACTTTGTGTTCTCAGATATATATTCACAGCCATGTAAACCCATATTAACACATTAATAAGCAAAATAAGTATCATAGGACTAGACAGCTACTCACAAAAATAACAAAATATTAGCAAAATCAAATAGTAAAAACAGATACTATTTGTCTCTATCTACCCTGATGGTGATTTAAGAAATTTGAAACCTTAGACCATATTTTCTGTACCTTTCTTCCAAAATGAACTTTGGTCAATTTCTGACAGAATTTCCTCTTTGTTTGAGACAGATTATTCATAACTTGAACAGGTCTATCACTAAAATTAATAGGTCCAAAATGTCTGTTAGTTTTAATACTATTTGCCTTAAAGAACAATTACTGTGTAAATACACAGAATAAACCCATATAGGTTTATTGAATAACTACTTTGGTAAAATTATATATAAATGAAAGAAGACAAAATATTACCCAAAATACCTGAATGCAGTAATATAAGAATATTTATATCTATGAAGAAAACTCTATTGTTGAAGAACACTGCTCTTAGTCATTTCATGCATGTAATAAAGTCGCTTCTAAAAAAAAAAACAAGATCATTTTAAACAATTTCATAATGGTAAGAAACCTAAATATAGCTTCAACTGGAGACATTGAAAAAGAGAGGTGTTAAAAAGAGAGGTGTTATAATTCCTCTTAAGCTAACTATTCTTATCAACTCTCATGAAAGAGGATTGTTGATAAATTATAACATGTTAAACTATAAATAGAATTATTATTTTAAAAATGAGGTAAAATAGTTTTAAAGTAGACTTTATCTGCCATCTCACAGAAAACAACTGCAAGAGACAGTAGACCAACATTGTAGACTGATGGTTGAAACTTAAAACACTGAACATGCAGAATATGAAATCTGTTGAGTGAAAAAGTCTTGGCACAAACAGGATTATTAATGTCTTGACCAATTGCTGAACTTGAAATACCCTGCCATTACATCAACATTGTTGTTCAATGTGATTGGCCATTTTTGATCCAAAGTGGATATATTAATTAATCCTGCATTCCAATCTTTGTGAGTTGTCCAGTATAACCAGATTAATACTAGCGCATAAATGAACACTTGATGGAACTTTTTTTGCAGAGAAAGAAACCTAATCATTGCTGAAGGATGAAAAAAATCTTCCTAGTGTGAAACACTAAGCACAAATTCACAGAAGAAAAGCAGTGTGACATACTTAGTGATTTGTTCAGCTCCATGGTTTTGAACTTAGAGTAGTCTTTCTCCTATACTAGCTGCCACCCAAGGCTAGAAAGCTGTCTATCCTGCTACCTAACCTATAGCTGAGAGGAGAAGATGGATTCATGCCTTCCCCAAAGGCAGTAGTGTGGAAGTGATCACAATAGATGAGGCCATAATTAGTAATCTGCTCTCTAAATCAAAGCTTACTGCCATATTGAAACAGCATTTCCCATACTATCACCAAAATTAAGCAATGTCAAGCCTGATTAGTACCTGGATGGATGACCACTTAGGAATACCAGGTGCTGTAAGCTTGGATATGCAGGTGGTGTAATTGATAATGGCTTGGAATTGTTAATTGGAGAGCTGAGTTCCAATTCCATTTGGGTTTGTTATATTCACTTATGCAAAAATATCCTTGGAAAAGATATGAATCTACCTCTTCTACCCTCCAATTATTGGTCAGTTAGAAAAACTTGTATCACTAAATCATTATTTCAAAAAAAAATTCATACAATCTAAAAATATTTTCTTGCTTTAAATAACCTGCAAAGGGTTGATAAGTCATAGAAAACATAACAAATGAAATCCAAATGCACTTTGTCTGCCGATAACCAATTCATAATTATTCAGGTGTTACATTATCAGTTCTTTAATTTGGCCAAAATGACCTATGTAAAATAAAATGACCCGATATGTAAGTGAAATTGCCAACCTTTTTCTGGACTTAACCAAATAAAGGAATACCCAGGCAAAACTTTTAATTAATGGTAGAATAATTTTTAAGATTCTTTCATTTATTAGACTAATCTTGCTTGTTAAAGCATTTTGCTGTTTTAATCTGATTTTCCACTTTATACCCCTCATTGGAGGTGACTGTTTTCATTCTTCTATACCAGTTAATTCTTAGTAGTTTCACCATCTGAGAGATAACAATACAAAACATTGTGACTATAATAACCAAGATGACAACATTTGTCTAAATAAATTACTTTCTAAATGTTGGTTTAACTCTGAAGAATTAACACAAGATATTCTCTATGAACAGTGGAATAAGATCTCTTCCTGTGGATAGAAGAAAGGGTTCAATTTGAAATTCCCTGAAGGTTACCAATTACACTAGATACCAGAAGGTACAACAGCTAAAGTATTCTAATTATTACCTTCAAGATGAAAATATTTAAATTAGATTTCCTCATCTAAAATATTTCAGAAAATGAAGTTAACTGAATTTTTATACCCAGAGTTAACGAATGGCAGGTCTTTTAACTTATTCAAAGTTTTGATCTGAAAATCAAATAAATTTTAAGATTTAAAAAAGGGGAAATGGAAAAATGGATTAATGAAAGATTAAAAGAGAATCAATCAATGAAACATTCAATTGATTCAGTGATTGATTTGATTTTTAACGAGTCAGAAAATAGAGAAGCTGCACTTTGAGAGAAAGCTGTTGGAAAATACATGGATACAGCTAATGTATATTGTGGACTTTCTATTGGTTAATAATAATCATCAATAAAAGAAAATAAAGAGTGAAATAAAAAGATTTTATTAGAAGTTTAACTAGTTGTTTTCCATTGTTTTTTTTTTTGTTTTTTTTTCTTGAAGAAATTTAAAACAAAGTACACTTGGTCTTTCTAGATGAAAAGGATCTTATATTTGAGGGGCACTCTAAAAAATGATTGAGACATCAAATTAAAAATCCATGAACTTTTATTAACTGATTATGAGTGAGAATTTTAAAAGCTAGAATAATACAGTCTGTGACAGAAATACCTTTCGCATACTGGTAATACATAAGGTAAACAAATACACCATTGCCACTAATGACTTACCCTTATGAGGAAGGTATTTCTGGGAGATATATGCAGAAGTCATTTCTGACGCACCTTGTATTTTAGTTGCATTTTTCCTTTTCAAAGAATCCTACTCATGAAATTTAATTTTTTCTCATTTTTATTTCATTTTCTTACCAAGTTTAATATTCTATGGATGCCTCTCTGTGTATGTTTATCGCTCTATCTACCCCCCCTCTCTCTCTCTCTCTCTCTATATATATATATATATATATATATATATATATATATATATATATATATATAAACGTTTTGTTAATGAAAACTGACAGGGTACTTTTAAGTTTTTATTATGTATTTTTCTTGTATGTGAAAAGTGTTTTCCTTTGTGGACTTAATGAGTGTAGAAATTATTCAAATGCTTGTTGATTCTGAGCACTTTTGGCTAATCTATGAGAAATTTTCAAGGATTTTACTTACACATTTATTATAGTAGTATAATTGCTTTTGTAGATAATTTAAAAATTGCTGTAAAGTAGGCATATTATTAATTCTTGAATATGGCCAGTACATTGTGGCCATGTTTTATAATAGCATTTGAAAATGGCTAATAGATTAGCTGAAAGTGTTAATCAACAAGCAGCTCCTTAACAATAGAATATGAAGGGAATGAGGATAAGTCAACTTCATATATGTGGCATAGTGGATCCTGGCTGTGAAGGTCTGAACTGGGTGAACAAAGAAATGAAACCTATCAAAACATTTGCCATGAAAATAGTGATAGAGTAGAGAGAAGCTAGCAATATTTCATCTGTGGGGAAAAGGTGTAGGATGGATAGATTATTTATTTATATAAATGCTTTTGAACACTCTCAAGGCTGGAAAATGAGGACTGGCTAGCTCCATTTTAGAAATTGCAGCAGGACTATTTTAGGTCCAAATCGAACTCTTGTAAAGATAGAGAATGGCAGGAGCAGTCTGGTACTTTCTGGACCAATACAAGGAAAAGACATCAGAAGGAGAAAGGAAAATGTTATAATTTGGTACATGTTGCAGAATATCACACTAAATAATCTTCCATTTATAGCTCACTAAATGTGAGATGTCTTTTGTGAGACAAAATAGAATAATAATAATAATAAAAAAACCAAAAAAACAAAACAACAGACCCAAATAAATAAAGCAAATAATAAACAAAGTAGCAAATCATTATGACCAAAATATTAGTTAGACTAAAAAATCAAACGAAAAAAATAGCTATAACTGTTATATAACGATAAAAAATAAATAAATAAAATAAAATAAAAATAAATAAATACTACGTCACTTAAAAATCAAAAACTGAAACGAGAAAATATAGAAGTAAAATAAATTGACCTAAATTCATCCAAGTAAATAAATAAACTAACCAATCCCAATAAAGTTACCGTTAGAAAAAACAAATAAAGATAATCAACCCAAATAAACACAAATTAAAAACTGTTTCTGCCAAAATAATAGTTAGAATAAACTACAACAACCAACCCCAAAACGAAACAAATAGCTTTAATTAAATTCTCAAAACAAAACTATTAAATAAGTGATATAAACAAATTTTTACTACGTTAATAAAAAACACTGATTAAAAAATAAGTAAATAAATAAATAAAATAAGAAACAAAAAATAAAAACAAGCAAAATAATTTAACCCAAATAAATAAATAAACGACTTCCGGTAAAATAACTGCCATAATAGACTACCCACAATGCACCACTGACCCGTATATGTATAAATAGCCGAGAAAAATAACAGCACACGTGGCCTGATGATTGCATATAGCATGAAACAGACTGTCGCCTCTAAGTGTTGACTATATATATATACTTTAAAAATTAGGAGATCGGTTTCTTCCACTACCTTGGTTTCAGTCTTAGGTTACAAGAAGAATTAGCAATAATAACATTTCCAAATCCCACAAAACTTTTGAACCAGAGATAGAAAATCATGAGCCAATGTATACATATAAAAAAATTCTTAAGCTCATATGAAGCTGGATAAAAAAGTATGTACTTTTCAATTGACTCCCCACCAATACATTTATAATACCCTTGCTTTTCTTCTTCCTTCTTCACATCTTCTTCCTCTCTTTCTATCACACCCAACATTGAGTGTTTGTTTATTTATTTTTTAAAATAATATAGCGTTCTTTTTTTTTTTTTTTCTTTAAAAATAAAGCATTGGAAGGACAATTGATAAAAATCAGCAAGGTAGCATAATCAACTGATTTCCTAATTTTTAAAGTTAAAAGCTCTATATTTTATTTTTTTATTTTGATTTTTTTCATGTGTGTATTGAGTACTTTTTATTACTAATGTTTCCTGGTTCAAGTCACCTCTGACCATTAACATTTTATGTATCATATGTATTATGATTCACCCTATACAATGTCCAGGGGCCACTTGTTGTAGAGAGTTATGTTAAGAGGCAATTTATACAGATAGGAGGGGGATATAATGGTTAACCTAGACTTGAACAAATGAGGATTTTAGTGATAAAGGAAACATCCTTTTGGAAATCTGTTCCACAGTGGTTGTGGGAAAAAGCTGTTCAAGTGAAACTTCTCACTGATAGAATACAGAAGTAATGTGGGTGGTTTGCTCCAATATCAGTGGCATGTTGTGAAGGTTTAGCCTGGTAGAATCAGGGAATGCAGTTCATCTGAGCACTTTCCATGGTAGTAGCAATAGAACAGTGAGAAGCTTGCCACATCCTGCCTTTGAGAGAGAGAGAATTCTTGGAAAATAATTTATCACTCAAAAAGACTCTGAGATGGTTTTAAACTCTATCAAGACTGGAAAGAAAGGGCTAGGCATCTCGTGCCCAAATATGACAGCAGTATTCCATTTTGGGCCAGATCTGGCCCTTGTAAAGTTTGAGGATAGCATGAGGGGTCAGGTACTTACTGGAGTGGTACAGGAAGCCGACCATTTTTCCTGCATCTTTGGCAATGGATTGTATATAAGAATTCCATTTGAGGTCAAGGGTAAGTTAATAGTCAATAGTCTCTCTCTCTCATATATACATACATGTGCACATACTAATCAACTCTGAATTGGCTAAGCATCTCACTTCATATGGCTTTAGCTTCTCTAGTTCAGCCACCAATGTACTAACAGTTATTACTGAATCTGTCTCTCAGACTTTAAATAAGAACAATGCTTGGGCTGTGGCTTCAAATATCTCTAAGGGGTTTGACAGGGTTTAACATGCTGGCCTTCTCTACAAACTCAAGGACTATGGTGTCTCTAGCTGGATATTTGACTTAACAAATTGGGTAATGGAGGTCATGTTGAATGGATATGCTTCTATATCATTTTACACTGATGTGGGGGTTCCCCACATGTCTATCCTTAAATCTACATTGTTTCCTATCTCTATCATTCTTTCCAATATATATATATATATATATATATATATATATATATATATACATACATACATACTAGATATTTATGCTGATGGCACAACTATAAAGT